GTTCATATAAAAAAAAGAAAGTCTTTATTCGTGAAGACAAAATGGCGGCGGGGAAAAAAAATAGAGGTTGCTGTAGGAGAGTTGTTGCGAAATTTTGCCAAAAAAAATCGCCAAGTTACCAAATGAAAGATCAACCGTATCCATTCCTACTCTTGAGACTTCCGAATTGCATAATCAACACCAAGTACGGACGAATTCTATTCACAAGCGCGGGGTTTTTTCGAAGCTTGGCTCGACGGCCTAAATAATGTAGCGAAGCGGATTTTACTTTAAATTATAAACCTAAGAATAATCACTGCGAGTGGACTGTAAATTTAACCTTATTCGGTAGTTTGAACTTCGAACAACAACGCACAGCACAAAGTAAAACCACAGAGTTTATTAGCGGTTTAAGAAGCAGAACAAAATGCGACTCGCACAATCTGCGCATTGGAAATTCTCACAGACAGGCAGAGAGCTCTGGTGGCCAAAACAGCAATTCTCTTCAAACCTGTTACTTCAATATCCATTGCAATGACATTTGAGACCGCCTGCTTGGATAGCAAAAGGTGTCAAATCCCTCTGAAGCGAGATGGCGCTGCTATCGTTACTGTTTCAAAAAAAAAAAAAAAAAAAATTCCTTTTAGGAATTGCTTTAGTGGCAAAGCAGAGTTAGTGTGGTTGCCTGGGTGTCTTCCACAAATGAGTAAAATAAAGATAATGAGATATTGTAATTTAGTTTAATTAAGAGTTACAGTCCACACTGAATTAGCCGGACCAAAGGGTTTATTTCCCGTCGTAACTCTATCAAATGACCTCTTTCTAACACTGAACAGAGCGAACCTAAACAATCAAATAGATTTTGTGAACTTATCAGAAAGACCATATAGATGACGAAAATGCAATGGATTTTATCCCTCCCAAAACTAAAGGTCATGTTCCCCCAATTGTACTCGATGACTTTAGTGCAGGTTAGAAATCATTAAAAGAGAAAATGGAAAATAAAGACATCAAAAATATAAAGCCAACATGAAAGGTAAAAAATTACCATTAGAGTTTACGAAATTGATCATTCAGATTTTTCACCAAACTGCTACAAATGCGTGGAGTGGAGTTCTAGAGTTTTAAACTGAATTCTGAAAAACCGATGAAGGTTGCTAAAGAAGACTAACCTGGGGTTAATCCAACAAGAACTCATAAAGAAATTCCTATACTTGAAGTTAGACAACTCACCTCAGTCAGAAATGGAAACACTGTTAATATTTTAGTTTTTCAAGTTGATCTAAAACGCTCCGTTGAAGGCAAAGGAACCATCAAAGGTTTAGATGTATTTATTGAAACGCACAAGTCGAAGCCAGAGCCTGTGCAGTGCTATAAGTGCCAAAGGTACGGATCTTTGCCACTTCAGCCCTAGATGTCTTTAGAGTGCGAAACATCATAAAACTTACTTATGTACATAAAGAAAGAAGAAATTAAACCAGCTTCGTGCGCCTTATGCAGTGATTCCCACGTATCATCATATAAATGGTGTGTTAAACACTCAAAAAATATACGAAAAGTAATAGAAGCAGCTAGAAATAAAAAAGAATCCGCAAAATCAGCAAATCAGAAAAATTTCATTTTTTCAAATAAAGATTTTCCTTCACTTCAAAACAAATGAACGAAAACTTCCTGAACATTCATCTGTATGGTTTAAAAAAAACTCATCAAGATCCACCAAAAGAAAATGACTCATCCTTCTTCGGATAAGATTACGATACAAATTCAAAAAAGTAAAAGAATTCTTCATAAAGTTCAAAACAGCAAAATCCATTATGGATAAGCTGGAAGTTGGCATAGCTGTCGTAAGTTTTAAAGCCTCAAATTTGAATTTTAGTCACCTTCTATCACGAAAAATGCAATTCAATAGTTTCAGAAGCATAAGTTTCAGTTTTTCATCCTTCATCCTCATCTCCTATATATATATATCCATCGAAACTTGTAGCTAGCTTCTCGTATCTTAGTTACTCTGTATACATTTACTTCTACTTTTATTTAAACAAAACTTTTTTTAATTTTACTCATCTTGCAAAGAATGAGCTTTGTTTAATACACTGGCAGAGCCGAAAAGGACTTTGTTTACAAATTTTGTGCTATTATTTTAACTTAGTGTATTACTTTTAGTGTACTTTATTATCTCATGAACTCATATCTTCATATTTCCGCCTTCGTGCGACATTGTACTAGTGTACATGATGTGTTTTTAAACCAAGCAAAAGTTAATATGTTATTAATATGTAATACAGTGGTTAAAACGCTCTTTTGTAGTTGTGTCCCAGAAGTAAATAAACGATCTTCAATTGAAAAACGAAATTATTTAGATATAGTTCAGATATTTATGAAAAGGACAAAATGAGGATAACAGATCAAGAAAATGAACACGATGATGAAATTATCAAATTAAATTTTCTTTTAAATAACTATAAAACAAAAATGTCTATTTTTATATGATTTTTCTTCTAATAAACATAGTAAGATAATCATGCATGTTATAATAATATGCTTTAAAATATGTTTATTTTCGTTCAAGTATTAATCAATTAATTTTAAAATGAAGGAAAATTTTATGTGTTAATTATATAAGTATCAAACAAAGTGGAATAATTCAATGAGAAAAATTTATTTTGCAACAACACTAAATAAGATATCTTGACACTACAGTGGAATATGACTACGGTAGATTCTTTCAAGGCAACTACTTCTGAAAATGATCTGCATTTATATATAAGAACATACATTTACATTAGCTGTATAAAACGGTTACATCTACCGAAAATAAAAAGTATCTGTATTCGTGAGTCTTAAAGAGTATTCACTGTGTTTGTTCTATAATATATTTTATTTCAAATGATAGATTAACTTTAAAATGAAATATTTTTAGACCTGATATATACTGTCGAGGCAAAGCAAAGCTAAAGCTTTAGAATTTCAAACACGAATATTTGTTTATAATTAAAGTAACTTCTTGTATCTATAGAATTCTTAACGCTTTTTTCCTTATTAAAACTATGTACAAAATTTCAATATTAAGTTAAAAGGGCAACTTTTATTTATTTATTTAGCATATAAGTTAGTAATTTTTTTCTATTCCATGCTAAAATGCTCCGCTTAGGTCAGGCAGATTTTATATATATCTATATATATGGACCAAAAACTAAGAAATTTTAAACCTAATTCAACAAAGATACGAAAGAAATAAACTTCAGTACCAGTAGAAACCAAAATTCCCAATAAATATGTAAAAATTATCAACGGATTGTCATCAAACCAAAAGAACTCCCGAAAACTACAGATATGTGAAATACAACAACAAAAAAAAAAAAAAAAAAAAAATATAACAGCTCACCTAAAAATTCTGTACGCCACTTGAGGAATTCTGAAAATGAATTAAAAATATACAAAAACAAATCCATATGAAATAAATTTAATGCCCAAATAAAGTAAAAGAAATATAAATTTTTAAAGAAATTTTTTTAAAAGAAAGACACATTTTTGCATTTCAAATATCTGTAGTTTCCGGAAATTCTTCTATTTTGGTGTTAATTAGTTGATAATTTTTTACATATTTATTGGGAATTTTGGATTTCAGTGAGATTGAATTTCATTCCTTTTCTGTTTTGTAAATTTGGTTCTAAATTTTTGTATATAACTGATAAATTTTTCAGCAGCATATTGCGCAGAAATAATATTATTAGGATAATTTCGTTACAAATCTGTTATATATATTTATATAATATATATATACATGACGTATGTATGTAATGTGAAAATATTAATAGTAATGTATTGTAAAATATGTACACTCTGCATAAAGAAAAAAATGGTATTTCTATAACCGTCGTTTTACAGAGCACATTGACGGAATTTAACTTGCGTATTTCATGTCAGGAAAGCGCTACTTAGGAGATTTACATATAGCATTATTCTAACACAGGTATTTTGACACAAAACCGAGCTTTTTCTGAAATGTCATACCCTTTTTTTTTTTCATATTTCGATTTTACTACTCAAATTATGTCCAAGTATTTAATTTTGTAAAATTTGGTGAGAAACTTGTCAAGAAATTCAAAAACGTATCCTGGCGCATTTTTTTCAGTTTGCGCCAAGAATAATTCACTTGGCTAAATTCTTAATTTATAGTAACTATTTTCCTTTCCCTTTTTTCGCTGCGCATAAGCGGGAAAATAGTTCATCGTTCACTCTTTCAAATAATTTTAATAAAGTGCGTAAACCACACTTGGCGTTATTGTCGCTTATAACAAATATGCCATATTCCAAAAGGCGCCAATATATAAAGTCACGTATATCTTTGGAAATTTCAAATTGAAAGCTCTAATTTTTTTTTTTTTTTTTTTTTTTTTTTTTTTTTTTTTGCAGGCATGCTTAGAAATACATCTACTTTAAGAGGACGTAAACATTTTATAGATAGTACAAAATATTTTTCAAAAACATTATGAAAATTACTAAAAAATATAAAATTTTAAAGCAAGTCAGAAAATAAAGGATCTGCGAATTTCATTTGGATTGAACCTAAATTGAACACAAAAAAATTAGCACAAAATCGCTAACAATCCAAACATCAGGAAGCACTTATCAACGGATATCAACAAATTAATTTTAAAATAAAAACCTAAATTAACTCAGAATTAATTAAAAGAAGAATGAATGTTTCAATAATAGATAATTAGCAATATATTTTTAAAATATTCGCCAAAATAAGATACGTTATTAAAACGACTAAGAATCGAATTGTAAAGCGTAATTTACGTAAGCAGCATGTGAATTTGTGATGAAGTCAGTGGTCATGTGAGCATATATAACTATGGCATCGCCCAAAATTATGAGATTTCTGTCGGCATGCCCTACATTTTGCGACTTTTCAATTATTCTCCTGTTACTCCATGTGAAAAAATTCTGACAATATTGCTGTGAAATGCTTATAAAATTGTATAGACTACAATAAAAATTTGTATTTTTTTCAGAGCTAGAACGTCGTGTAGCTGACCTTCTGGGCAAAGAAGCAGCTCTATTCGTTCCATCGGGAACTATGGGAAATCTTGCATCTGGTAAGTCAGTGATAAGTAAATGCATTCTAGTTAACTTGACACGTGACGTTAAATACAAAGTGCATCTAAAAGGCGAAAGCGTCACGGATATATCAATACAAGGAATTCAACTCTGAACTAACAACTGAGAAACTAATGCTCTCTTCTGTCTTATATATTTTTTCTCCAGCCACCGAGAAATTTCTAATACTTCTCTAAATTATTAGAAGACATAAGAGAGCCGGATACAGTTACAGCTACTTGGAAGGTCAGTTACAGTTTTCAATTAAAATACCCATTACAGTTATACAGGGGCTGGACCAAAGTGTCGCCAAATGGTTGGCAAAGTTTATACGCGTTCTAATACTATTGATTGCGTCTGTGGTTGGAATACGGTCGCAGACACTTAACCGACACTAGTTAGCCGACAGGATATTTAGCCGATACGGACACTTAGCCGACAAGACATTTAGCCAACAAGGACAGTTAGCCGAGGACATTTAGCTGACAAAGACATTTAGCCGACAAGGACACATAGGCTGACACGGAAAATTAGCCGGCATTGAATCTCTCTCTTCCTAATGCTTTCAGGTTTCTAATACTTTCACATTTCATTCGTACTTTGTTCAACAGAACATGCTAGATTCATTTCCATATAAAGTGGTTTCGCTTCTCCCACTAATGAAATTTCTTTTCCCTGTCAGGAAGTAGCGTGATTCGCCCTACTCCTCGCCGCACTGGAACTACTTTTTTTTTTCTGAAATGCTATTTACACCCTCAGAATGCTATTTGTATGTTTAGGCATCGTTTATTTATTAATCTGTGATAGGAGTCCGGCCTAGGAATTCGTGCCTCGCGGCCTGCGACAACCTAACAGAAGTAGGTTGGGTTTGTTTGGTTTACGTAATTACGGCAAAGCCAGAGGGCTGTCTGCATACGGTGAGGGATACCTTCGTGGAAGACATTCTAACGAAAACTGGCTCGTATACACGTTGCACATGGGGAAAACCACGAAAACGCCCATGCAGCCAGTCCATTCTGTTGATTGGAATCAGCTACGTATTAGGAAATAGTATGTGTGTGTGTGTCTGATTATGGCAAAGCCTCGAGGACTATCTGCCTAAAGGGAGGAATGCCTTCGTGGAGGACTTTTTAAGGGAAACTGGCTCGTATACACGTTTCACATGGGGAAAACCACGAAAACGCCCATGCAGCCAGCCCGTTCGCGGGATTCGAACCTCTGACCGAACTACCAGTGTTCAGCGACTTTACCACTCGGCTGCTGGTGAGCCATTAGGAAATAGTAAAGGAGAAGCGAATGCATAGGTGCGTGTTTGCCATGTTTAGCTGTTTCTCGCTCGTTTGGCTCAATGTACATCTTTCATCGGCTTTATTGTTGCCGATCTCGAGTTTTTCCGAATTTGAATAAGCATTTATTTCCAGGAGCAGCCTCCCCCCCTAAAAAAAAAAATTGTTGGTAAGAAAGCATATAATTACTGAATTTTTATTTTAAAATGTTTTATTTATTTGTTTTTAAGCAGTGCATATCAGCAGCACATTATTAAACAATTGGTATCAAGCTTATTTCCTAATGAAATGATGAAAATTAAAATGTATATTTTATTTCTAAATCCTCTAGTCAGTATGCAGTTAAAAGTATCTAAATGAGAAGAACTTTTTTGCTAATGCAAAATGCAATATTTATAGTTGTATGTATTAACTGTATTATTACACATGTTAAATTTCGTGCAAAATGTAGTACCTTTGAAAGTCCTTTAATAAAAAAAGGAAACGCATTTCTCCATTATTCTTAAACTTTTGTATGAACCAAATGTAATCTAGCAAAGTGATTTAATGATGTCATGCGTTTCCTACCATATAGAAATAAATTTAAACACATTCTGTACCAATTCAATTAATTCAGCTTTAAATTTAAAAGTATAATTTTGAGCAATGTTTTATTTTTATATGTCATATAGATAGATTATAACAGAATAGACTTCATAATATTTGATACATAAATCTAATATTATTTAACAAACATTAACACAGAGATCCGTATCATTTTCCCTTGAAATGTGCTGTTTTCCTGTAAAATGAACAAAAAGCTGTTATTATTCACAAATTTATATTAATATTTATATCATTTATAAGATTCTTAATTATCCTTAATAATTATTCGTAGTATTATTTCCATAATTTAATTACGAAAAAATCATTGGAAATTTTTATTGCTATTATATTATGCTATTGAGAATTTCACTTAAAATCATTTAAAGTTTTTTTAAGTCGCAACATTCAGAGGGTTGGTACCTTGATTTCCTGCTTCAAGTTTGAGTCTCTAGTTAATACGTATGTCCTTGGTTTGGTTTGATTTATTCGATTATTGAAAAGCACTTAAGGACTATCTGTCCAAGAGGAAGTATACCTTTGTGGAGGAGTTGTAGTCTCTGGCAAGCGGTAAAATGACTGAACACTGACAGTTTTGTCCGGAGTACAAATCCCGGCCCATGGAAGTAGCTGCATGGGAATTTTCGTGATTTTCCTCATAGATATTGTGGATACGAACCAGTTTTTTCTTTCTTTTGCCTCCCCTTAGGCAAAGAGCCTTAGAAGGCATACCTTCCCTTAGGCCTGGAAGGCATCCCTCCTTTGCTATGTCCAAATACAGAAAACTAAACCAAGCCTTCTTGGATGACCATTTTAGGGAAAACCAACTCGTATCCACGTGTTTATGTTTTTCCCTATGTGTGGAAAACGCCTATGCAGTCAGCCCGCTCGCCTCATCATTATGTCCGACTTCTCCATTAAATTGTTAAGACCACCCTCATATTAACTTACATGCTTTGGCTCATACTGTCATTGCAAACAACCTTCCTATTGTGAAAATACACATTAGTTACATATTTGCACTCTTTTAAAATTCGAATACAACTAGTTTGGAATAAAGTTAACTTTCAGTTCTCATATTATATTACTTTTGTGACCTCATATTTATCAAATAGCTTAGAACTAAAGCTTAGCTACTCGGCAAGCCCTATAAGTGTCTTCACTACTCCTGTGAATTTCAAAATATAATACGTATGTTGATATTAAAAAGGCCTTGCACCTTGACGGAATTATTAACAACATATTATGCAATTTGCTTTTCAACATTATCGCCAAAGTCACTGGAATTATCAATGCCTTCCTCATTCTTAAGTTATTTTAATTCTTAGAAAAGCCAAGCTTGGATCCTGGTTCTCAGTAAGCCTGAAAAGGACAGAACTAAAGTAGAGAGTTTTCGCCCTGTAAGATTGCTTTCCAATTTTAACAATATTTACGAACACATTGTATTAAAAAGGGTGAATCTATATCTTTAGCTACTTCCTTCCGATTTGTAATCATTCAGAAAACAACTGTCTACTTCAAAGTAGCTAATCAAACTAGTTGCATTTATTGCGGCAGCTTTGCACCACAAAAAATGCACAGAAATCCTTGGCGAAAGCATTCGACAGCATCTGGCATAAGGGGTTAATTTAAAACTGATCAAGAAAATGAGGAAAGTGTTCTTTTCCTCAGTTTCTTCCTTACCAATCTAATTTTTAGCGGCAGTCAAGGAAATGCTTATACAGCGCTCAAAAACACCACTGCAGAAGTGCCCCAGGGTTATTGTCTTGCGCTCATTCTCTACCTCCTTTGCGTAATCAATTTCCCAAAGATAAACTGGACCATAACTGTATGTTAGCTTGGAACGCCGAGGATGCGGCAGCAGCTGTGAGCTCTAGGCAACTGTTATGGAAAATTCTTATGTATTTTTTGTTGTGTATAATTATTGCGTGTTATTTTACTGTGCATAATGTATTCTTAGTTATTATATTATTTTATTGTGTTTAATGAATTTGTATTGTGCTTATTTTAAAATTAATGTATAATATTTAATATTGTTAAACTTAACGGCAAAGCTCCTTTAAGTTTAGCAGAATGGTGTTAGAGTTAAAAGGGCGCGGTTGTATTTCGTTCCGTTTTCACGAGTAGGCTTCTTTGGATGTTAGAGGTCACTGTCCAGCTGCATTTTCCCCTTTTCGGGGGGTTGAAAACACGTGTTTTTTCTCGTTCAGAGGCGAATAGTTCTAAGGGGCGGCGATTTTTTGACAGAGTTATAGGTTGGAAACATTCTTCGTTTGCTGTGGGAAAGAAAGGGTCTGTCTTCTTGTAGAAAGTTCTGAATTTCTGAGAATTTCAGCGGCTATTTATTACTTTTTTTTCTAGTGTGCGAGTGGGAGCCCAAATTTCCTTAAGATTGGCTAAATTTTATTTTTAGTGTTGTTTGAGCCAATAGTAATTTTGAGGCGTTTCTTGTTGAGTGTCAACTGGGTGTTTCTTAAGCCGTTGCACGGGAGGCAAGAGAGGGATCTTTTGACCAAAAAACGAGATTTTTAGAGAAGACTTTTGGCAGATTATTTTGGAGCCTTAGCGGGTTTGCTTCTTTGACGGCGGCCCCCTACGGGGCCGGCCGCGGTCAGTGAGGTGCTGAGATAGAGCGGAGGAAACAGACAGACAGACAGACAAAGTAGACAGATGTCTTTTGTTGCACCCGCTAAGTCTTTCTGCACCGATGGGCAAAAAATCAAGCATAGGTGCGAAGGAAAGGTATATACACTCACGTTTGTGAAAATTGCAACACCATGAAGGACTTACGCGAGTGAGCTGAAATTTTCAGGAAATGCAAAGTAGCGCATGATATGCAAATGATTAGAATTGCAAATCCGTAGCGCATGCTTATGCTGAGCAGCGCGCCCTCTGAACGGCTGATGGATCCGAAATAGACGGCTGTAGCGAGGCGTGTATGGTTATCGGTGGTTATCTGCTAGTGGTAAACGTTAACTCAATCTGTACTTATGCCTCGTCGACGAAAGAGAGCGAGATTTGAACAACTTACAGAGTTTGAACGAGGGAGATCATCGGCCTTCGTGAAGCTGGACTGTCGTATCGCGCAGTAGCCTCTCGTGTGCAGCGTAACAGCAGCACAGTGATGCGCG